CCCCCCCCCCAAAAAAAACACGAAAAAAACCCCAACAACAAAACAAAACAGAACAAAAATAACAACAACAACAACAACAACAACAACAACAACAACAACAAAAACAGCAACACCATCACCACAACCACCACCACCACCAACAACAACAACAACAACAAAGAAAAAATGCAAGGAACAAAAAAGAACATAAAAGATAATAATAAAAAGAAACAATACAAAACCCGAAACAAACGGTATACTTAGAAGTTGAAATATAATTCTGAAAGAAGAGTTTAAAAGAAATTTTTAAAAATCTGCCCCAACTGGGACTCGAACACGCACCTTGCGTGTTCTGGCCTCTACAGAAAGTTCCCGTTAGCTTCTGGGGTTGTCCACTCGTACTGGCTGATTGATGACCTACTGAGCCTAACAAAGGAAATCTCAATCCTGGTCGGAATTTTTCTGGGACTCGGCTCGGCCCCAGTTAGATAAGAAATAGACCAAACTGTACTGTGCCAAAAAATACCATAAGATCCGCAACAACAGAAACAAAAAATTGAATTAAAAGAGTTAACTTAATATTTATTTCCTTTCCTTTTCATCATCTGTTGCCTCAATGCGTCGAGGAGAGATGCAGGTTTTTATGGTAGGCCAGCTCCGCAGCTCATATGATGTGGATATTATGATCTCTCAGGGTTTCCTTGACTATCTCAATCAACCTTTTGCGTGGCCATCCTTTTACTTTATAGCCTGAGTGCTTGGTGTTAAAGACTCTCGATGCTGGCTGGCTAAGTGACTTTCTTAACAGGTGGCCAAACCATGGTTTTATTCTTTGTTTTTCTATGAAATGGAGGCATGACTCAGTGCTGACAGCTGCTCTTACTTCTTCAGTTCTCTGCCTGTTTCGTCTTGTTGTGTTGTTAAGGGTTTTGCGAAGACATTTCATCTCGTTTTAAGAACTCACCAAGGGCTGACCCTGACAGACAAGTTTGAGGCAACCCGCCTCCTACATTATCTACACAGTGTTGATGATAGCGTAAAACATTACAACATAGCAGTTATAGTAGAGCGGCTATTAGCAATACAAAAAAGAAACCCAACCAACCAAACAAATAAATAAAGAAGTAAAGAAAGAAAGAAAGACGTAAAAAAGGGTAAATGAATAAATAAATAAATAAATAAATAAATAAATAAATAAATAAATAAATAAATAAATAAACTAAAAACACGTATCAAAGACCTTGTACAGATTTATTTCCCCCCAATATCTATCTAAACAGACACATGCCTTTTATGAGTTGTGACTTTTACTTTTTACGTAAAAAATTTGCTCCGTCAGATGCAGATTAAAGGCAAAGTTTCGAACCATCATACTACACTGATCAGAGACTCAAATTTGTATACCACATAATATAATGTGTTTGTGTGTGTCTTTTGTCACGTGTTGGATAAAGAGAAGAGTAATGAAAAATGATGTGTAGGAATAGAAAAGAAATGCTCTTTATTTAAATTGCACCAAACAGCACAACTTCAAGCGCTCTCAAGGGAGGGACCAGAATAAGCGTCCATTGTTTCTGTCTGTCTGTCTGTCTGTCTGTTTGTGTTCTATTTATTCAGACAAAGTAATATTCCTTATTATTCGAAATGGTGCTTTAAAGATTTCAGACTTTTTTCACAGAGAGAGAGAGAGAGAGAGAGAGAGAGAGAGAGAGAGAGAGAGAGGGATAGAGAGAGAGAGAGAGAGGGAGGGAGGGATAGAGAGAGAGAGAGAGAGGGAGAGAGAGAGGGATAGAGAGAGAGAGAGAGAGGGATAGAGAGAGAGAGAGAGAGGGAGAGAGAGAGGGAGAGAGAGAGGGATAGAGAGAGAGAGGGATAGAGAGAGAGAGAGAGAGAGGGAGAGAGAGAGAGAGAGAGAGAGAGAGAGAGAGAGAGAGAGAGAGAGAGGGAGAGAGAGAGGGAAGGATATTAAATGTCTTTATGTCGATTCAAATGTCCAAGGAAATATCGTGTTTAACGCATATTATTATTATATCACCACCTTTACCCCCTAAGAGCTCCTGCCCCGAACACCTTTGTACTAAGGTCCTATTGACTTTGCCACCTTATGGGAATTCTAAGTGCAAGGCACACACGACAGAAGTTTCTTTTTTCCAAAAAGAGTAAATGACGCACTTTTATTTGACGAAGGTTAGGGTACATACCACAGGCAAATATTATTGTCATATCCCATTTTTTCTCTGATTAAGATCTGCTTGTTAATGCATGTTTGCGCTTTTCTGAAATAAATCCCTGCGATACATATTAATTTATTAGAAAATAAATATGTACCGTCTGGAGGCCAAAACGTGCATCCTTCAACCGTCTAACCAATGATTTGAATATGGTTCACACTGTTGTGTCTGCCATTGTTCTCATGAACTGCTTCTAAGAACAATTCTTCGATCTTTTTGACAATGTCGGCCAGATCCTTTCTGCTGTATTTAATGGGGTGGTCATGTAAGTCAAAGTGGGACATCAGCTGCAGCTGGTTTGGCGTCCTCTTGCCGCTAGGCGTCAGGACGTTGGTGATCTCGCCTATAACTTCCTCCACCTTCTCCACGATATCTATGAGGCTGCGTCTGTCCTGGTCCAGTAGAGGAGCTCCGGACACCACTGTGACGAGGGCGACGAGGAGAAGTGCCAGCCTCATTGTTGTAGATACTTTCTGTGGACACAGTTTGGAAAAGAATGAATGCAAGGGCACTTGTGGTTATTCATCATCATCATCATTTATAGGCCACATACAAGCTTCTTCTATTTATCTCTATCCTGGGCCATCCTTCCTAGCTAGTTCAAAGTGAACTTCATATCTCTCATGTCCCTTTCCACACATTTCCTCAATGTGTCTCGTGGCCTACCCCTGTATCGTGCTCCCTGTGCTCCCTGTGCTCCCTGTGGTTATTAGACTAATTATTATTATATCATCAAGCTGTGTAAAACACCATGCAGGCTTTGGCGGCCATTTTCTTGCTAATTTTACCTCCGAAATCAGACGACCCACACCTCTTTCAATCGACTTCTATTCAAGGTAGCTGGGTAATTTTTTTTATTACAAGCAAGACAAATGAACATACATTATAATGGTACCAATATATACCTCTATCACACATTTACACTTGTAGCAAACACGCGCACACACACACACACACATACATACACATACATACTTCTCAGAGGTGAACCTCTAAAAAACAAAGAAATTGGTTTTTGCTTCTAGAAGAGAAAAAACAATAATCCCACCGCTCGTAATTGAACAAGAAACAATTGACATCACGGATTCATACAAATATCTTGGTGTTACAATCGACAACAAATTTAAATGGCAAAAAAAACACCACAATAGAAAATCTGATACATTTTGGTGCTTCTTGCTAGTGTAGCAACTTGGGAAGACTGCACATCATAAAAATAAACAAGTTGATCATAAAGGCATCAAGCAATATTGGTAGAGACCTAAGTAACTTTGAATATCTGCACAAGACAAATGTTCTAAAAGAGGTGGAAATAAAGCTAAATGACTATAGCCACCCACTGACGTGGGAATTTCAATTATCGGCCCGCAGTAAACGATATTTTCTTTTAAAAAGCAAAAACAGACAGACAGAGAAGTTCATTAGTACCAACTGCAGTAAGGTTACTGAACACACAGTTACAAATGGAACACACACACACCCACACACATACACACACACACACACACACACATACATACATCGTTGCTATCATTGTGATCGATTGAGTAGAAGTTTTAAAGCACTATCGACACAGTTTGAGCCATGTGGTTGCTGAATGTCAATGTCCAGTGAGATTACAAGTTGAATTTCAACAGCAGCAATCCGAGCGATACGCTAATGATTGAGTACGAACAGATACGTCAATGTCTAAGGAGATGTCTCCTTCGGTGAAGTACAGTCAGATTTGTCCAAATCAATCAGACTTTGTCGAGAAGAAAAGATGTCAGCTTAAACAGGTTGTCGACTTAGACAGTCATCATCATCGTCATCATCATCCTCATCATCATCATCATCATCATCATCATCATCATCATCATCATCATCATCATC